ATATATATATATATATATATATATATACACACACACACACACATACACGCACATTATATTGTTAAAAAGTTGTATCTGTAGTTATAAAGTTGTATAACTATGTCATTATATATAGTTGTATATGGAATTATATAATCAATGAATAAAAATTGCCCTATAAAAATATGGTGCTGTTGGCAGTTCGTTGCCATTCTTCCCCAGTCCTGCTTCTTTTCTCTTATCACCACATCAGAAGAGGCATTTCTCATTCTTACTAATGCTATATAGGTACTGTTATATGGATTTCAGTCAGAGGGGCCGAAACACTTCTGTGCGGTGTACATTTGTACAGAACAGTTGTTCTGTTCTGAGTTTGAAACGACTCTTCCAACCTTTGAAATGATCTCATTTCAAGCACAAAAACAGCTGTTCCAAACTAAAAAAATAAAACTTCCAGAGTGATCAGAATAGCATTGGAACACTTCCAGCAAATCAGAACAATAAGTTCAAATTCAAAACTTTCACAGTGTAGTTTCAGTGTAATTTCTTTACATTAATCTCTGCTACATTTCTTTGCTGGAAGCAAGCATCAGTGAACTGCATTGAAGAAAGAAGCAGCAGTTATCTCCGTGCATGTCCTGGAGAAAAGTGAAAATCACCTTATGGATAGACTTTTCCAGAAAGGCTACTTTCTTATTCCTTTCCTGATTTGACTTCTTAGGAGCAGAAAAGAGCAGGTTACAGATTTAAAACTGAAATATACAGTACTGTGCAAAAGTTCAGGCAGGTGTGAAAAAATGCTGTAAAGTAAGAATGCTTTCAAAAAGACATATTGTAATTGTTTTATGTTTATCAATTTACAAAATCCAAAGGGAGCGAACAGAAGAAAAACCCAAATCAAATCAATTTGGTGTGACCTACCACCTTTTGCCTGGGAGGTATGGCTTTTTGACCACAATTCTTCCACGGAGACCACTTCTGGCCAGAATTCTCCGGACAGTAGATGGGTGTACCTGGGTCCCACTGGTTTCTGCCAGTTCTGTGGTGATAGCACTGCTGGAAGAGAAGTAAACATGATGTGTCTTCCATCTGCTGCATTAAGTTTCCTTGGTCGACTACTGCATCTGCGGTCCTCAGCATTGCCTGTTTCTTTGTGCTTCTTCAAAAGAGCTTGAACAGCACATCTTGAAAGCCCAGTCTGCTTTGAAATTTTTGCCT